GCAACTAGGTCCTTTGTTCTAATATTGACTTTTTACCCTTTAAATCCATTTCCTCGTTCTATTTTTTCATCCAAATTTTACTGCTTCCAAATACAAATATAATAGACAAAGGCCTGAGAACTTTTCTTGGAACTACAGGAAAAAAAAAATTGAAGTTCACCCTTGGACCATGTCCAGTTTTCTGCCATCACAAAACCCTTACTCAAACTCTCTGAGTAGGAGAAGCAGATTACATAAACAAAGGATCAAAACTTTCCTTTTATCTACTTTTCAATTCGTTGTGTCTGAGGATTTTTGTAGAACACTGTTTTGGTAGGTTTCTGGTGATCATTCACCATCTCAATTACCCAAAACACCAACTTTACAAATTTTTAAGTTAGCRCAATAAAGTCATAAACACCGTACATTCTAAACCTAACTTTTTTGAGGTCAGAAAAGCAAAAAATCTTCTTAAGTTAATTATTTCCTCCGCCACCAGGGTTTCAAAGAGCAAATTTATAATCATGAAAGAAAAAYGTCTTGGAGGCAGAAAAAGATAGGAAATTCTTCAAATAAATAGTAACTGTGCTGCTTTGTAATTTCAAATCATGAGTCTGATTAATAATACATGAAATATACAATTCATACTTTTGACATATAAAAAACAGGAAATTCAAGAATTGGTTGAAGTGTTTATTCTAAGAGCAGGTRTTATCCATAAAGCTTATTAGTTTACAATTAGTAAGGATTTTGCACCAAAGAGTAACTTTTACAAAATAATATGATAAGGCTAAGACCTAATCTACTGAAATTTATATGAGGGAAAAAAAATAGGAACTCACTTTTTCAACTATGGGAAAAATTGGAGGAGGGAAGCAATTATTTTCTACAACAAATGAGCCATTTTTAGCAGAGAGATCAGAGTATCTTCCCACTTCATGTATTCAATTTGTGCTTTTTTTTTTTTTTTTTTTGCTCCAAGCTGTTTCTTTCATCTTACAAATACAAGAAAATTAGACTTGTATTAGTGAGGACATGTGAGGAATTCAATCCTGAAAGAAGTTAACTATAATGATGCATGATTGTAGTACTTTGATATGAAATCAGTAAGATTCTAAGCTTGAAAAAGCACCATATTATTATCACCTAAAACTAAGTTCATTCTGGGGCGGGGAGGGGGGTGTATTTGAAATGACTAGTCCAAACCAGCATTCAGCTTTGATGCAGTCTAATGTGAGTTGTCAAACCTAATACTCAGGCTATAGTCGAGTTCTGTAATGACCCTGTGTCTAGTGACTTGTGCTCCGAGAAACCACGGTGACAGTCAAGAAGTAGAACCATTTTGTTATATCCTGCATTTATTTAAGCAAACCAAATGGGTAATAGGAAATTAATGCATTATAATGTTTTACAAATACAGAAAGAGGACACAGAATATTTAGACCCTAAAGAGAGTGCATGTGAGAACACAGTTCTACCATCAGAGACCACTTGCAGGGACCCATGGCCAACATATACCCGTTTGTCATTTTTATTCTAACATCGTTCAAGTAGTTTCGATAGATTTACTTTGAAACAAGAGATTTACTTTGAAACAGATACTAATACTAAATGAGTATGGTCGGTTTGTGAGTGACTACACTATACATATTGGAGGCTAGGCTTAATGTGTTATTTCAATGCAGGAGAAAGTATGTCTTATTACACATTTACTGTGACATCCATTGAAATGTGAACTCGTTTGCATAGGTTAGTCCTTTGGGCAGCACGATGTTTCTCTAGTCCACCAAGGCTTAAAGATTCACAGTGTAGAGGAAAAAAACATGATTAAAGCCTTTCTACTAAAATATATTTTAATAGCTGGTGTTAACAATTTGTATAACAAAAGCCAAACTATATTAATAACATCATATCATTCTGTAAGCCCCTTCATTTGAAAACCATTGTTTCCTTCACAACTGTTACACTCTCAAAGTTAGTACAATCTCACAAATTAATCCACCATAACACTACATATTTTGAAGCAATCAGGAGTCAAGCTACACAATGATTAAATGTGCATTTATATCACAGACCGACAGTTCCACACATAGCATGCCCATTACATACTTGGTGCTGCTTCCAAAATGCTCAGCCATTCATGGTATGGACACTCAGGAATGGGCCTGGGGAGCAGTTTTCTCTTTTCTCATTAAAGTAAATCATTCTTAACAACAACTGGATTACAGTATATACTATGCAAACTGGATACCACATATCAAACACAAAAGAGCCTATGAAATTCCCATGAATATACTGAAGTAATATGGACAACCAGGGAGAATATGTGCCAGGGATCCTTCCAGGTTTGTGGATTCCAGGAGTCTAAGCTTCATGGAATGATGACCATAAAAAAAAAATAAAAGAATCATACAATGTCTTGACTTTTTTGATCATCAATAGTTGCTCAAAAGGGTCTTAAAGGGCATGGAGTACTTCAGAAAGAGATTCTCATTTCAGCATTCTTAAGTTAGTTTACCTAGCTTCTTACTTAGCTAAAGTTTTATCATCATCATGTTATATGACCCAAAACAACCCCTGTCTAGTCACTTTCAGATTATCAGATGCAAAGGTATAATTAACTTATGGAGTTCATCTTATGTAGTGAATTCGGTCTCATAATATAATCATTCTCTCTTACAATAGATATTTTAAATCCCCAAATTAGCATTTATTACATCTTAACTATATATAAATCCACAAAGAACATTTCAGAAATAGATAGCAGAAGTCAGCATTTTATAAAGTTCTAAACCTTTAAAGGCAAAATACAATCAGCTACCACCTTTAATATCTGTTAGGAGCATCCTACTTCCCCACCACAAAAATACCAATCATATAATAAAATATTACTATAGAATAGGTAGAAGCTTGCTTGCTTGGTTTTCTTTCTAAGATCATAATGGATAAACAAGGGCAATTAAAAAGGCACCTTTTTTATGTATCTGAATTATGATTTTGGTATAAACCACATCCACTTTCTATGTGGATGTGCTATTGAAGATCACACATATTTTCTTTATTTTTTCATTAAAAACATTCCATTGGAGATAGATGAACTTGATGTTATATTAATAACATCATATCATTATTGAATTTCCACTCTCTCTTTTGGAAAAAAAAAAATCTTCTTCCTAATTCCCTGAGTGTTGTAAGGCTCAACACTGAGAGGACCAGGAAAGAAAGAATGTAGTAAAACTAGCAGAACCACATCTTCATCATCTTCAAGCTATGTAGGTAGGAGCAAGAGAGGGGCTGGTCTAATCTCAACCATATTCATACAAGGTGCTTAAAGAAACTGTGCTTCCAAGTTCCTGTGTGGTCTGGAGGTTGGGAGGCATGGTAAGATGCAGGCCTCTTTGGAGGGCTGACAACCAGATAAATATTTCAAACTGGGCTATGCTGCAGATGTGCAAACAATAACAAGGAGACATGAAGAACTCACTTTGCCATAGGTTAGACAGCTTTCTAGAGAACAAGAATTAGTAAATAAAACCACATGTACTACAATACTTATCAACAAAAGCAATATATTCTGTTTCTATCCTTTTCTCAAGACAAATATGATCCATAAACAGCTTTGTTTTCAGAAACTTTTTAAAAGTGTATCAAACTTTCCTTGTGCTTTTTTCAGGCTTGAGGGCACACTAAACTTAGGAACGGGTGCATGCTGTCTGTGCTTAGCACTTACACAGCCTTCTTTAACTTGATTTTTAAAAGATGCATTTTAGAATTTTCCCTTAGCTGTGTTACTTATGAGATATCTGTTGCCAAATTAAAGACAGGCAGGAGGCATATGGAAAGTAGAAAAGTTGTTCGAGAATGTAGCTTTTTTAAAAAATGAGGCTGTAAACGTAGCATTTTGGTATTATGTTGCTTATATTCTGCTGAGATGCTTAATATCCTCACAAGCGTTAGTAACAATACCATTATCGAATTTTAATCTCAAAAGCGTGCAATATCTTGTTCTGCCTCAGTCTTTATTGAAAATAACTGCCCTTTAGCTGAATTCTGATCAGATCTYAATTCCTAGAGTCTTGAAGCAGAAACATCTTGCTATGCAAACATTATATGCAGCTTAAAATTTTAGAACACTTATTCCACATGTACTGACTTCTACATTCAATGAATCTGATTTTAAAGTCAATGGATAAGAAAAACATAAAACATCAAACTATTACTTTATGGTAACTTTCCTGATGACAAGTATTATTTTAAGTTAGTTTCTTTGARCTTCCTAATATATGTGCTATTTACTAAAAATTGTACCTGTTCTGCCATATTAAGTCCGAAATTTAATCAGTGGCTACTCTTTTTTTTTTTTTTAATGATCACCAAAAAGGAGGAAAAAAATTTTTAAAAAAGAGGTCCACCTGGGCAAAACTTAAAGGCATACTTAATCTAATCAAATTAAGCAGGCTTATTGCCCTTGGTTTTAATGCACAGATTTTTGCAAAATTATTGTAAGTTCAGTTGTCTTTGTGCATTTCTATACAAGACAGAAAAAACAGATACAGAGTTTAATCAGTTTAATTATGACTGGCCATTTGAATGACAGAAAATCAGTTGAACTGGCTTTCTGGTAATCTGTAAACTTCTTCTAAATACCTCAAGATCTTTGCCTGAATTTTTCTCTTTTAAATTGCATATCAATGTCATGTAGAAACAGCTTTAGTGCAATAAAGCTTATTTTGCTCCTTTAATGTAAAAAAAGGGAAACTATAGATTTTCCAAAATATGTGCTAACTCTTCCAAGGTGCTAATGAACCAGCTTTGGCCTCTAGACTAGTAAACATTCAAGAAAAGTTGTTTTATAGGTTGTTTTCTTAATTTCCTCGAATATATCAAATAATATGTCCCCAATGCCCATACACTTTATTTTTGTAATTTCATTTTTTTTTCAGTTTCTCACAACTATAGAGTCAGATTCTACACAAATGCTACCCTGTTGCAAGTCACAATAAAGGGCACAATCAGAAAAACACAGAATTGTCAACAGACACCAAACTCTTGGTGACCTTGACCCCAAGCTCCAGGAGAAATTCCAAGACCCACCAGCAAAGGTTACACTTGTGGCTGTGAATCTAGCAAATGCCTGAAAAGTCACCCAAAACATGCCAACCATGCCTTTTTTCAGTAGACAAACTGTTTGGCTTGTACTGAAAAATCTCTGATGACATTCCTATGAATGTGATTTAGAAAATTAAAAATCACAGAGTGGAAAGAAAGTCTTTTTGATTAACCAGTCTTAATGGCTAGAGTCCCATTCCAGAATTTGAAGACCATTTTCCAAAATAAGAAAACCAGACCATCTCTATATGGAGTTGGTAACTTTTGTTTGCTGGGGTTTTCCTAGTACACTCTATATGCCATTTTTTTCCCACTGGATTCTATTAAGTTTTCTTCACTTTTAAATCAATAGCAGCATTAAGTTAATGAAAGCCGTTCAATAAATACCTAAATCACTTATTTATTAGAGTATACATCTAATTTCCTAAGGTGTAAATCCTTCAAAACTACAGTGCAATACAGCAGGAAAATCTCAAGCAACTTCTCAAAATATGTTTTTCTGATGCGCTGGCAGCTACAGGGGAGGGCTTTGGATATCAGCCACACTGTTTGCTTTTAACAGGAATGGGCAGTGCAGCTGTCTATGATACAGAAACTTGAACCTACGTGACATGCAACAGGGTAAACACTACTAGGGAAATAATACAGATGACATGAATCTTTGCCCTTTACAGAGTAGCTGTGAAGTTATTTGGTCCTGATGTTCTGTGGAACGGGGCGGTACTTGAGTCCACAGAATGTAAATGGGGAGTAGGATATGCCTTGGTGCAAAGGAGAAATAAACAGATCCCAGTCAGCCTTGGGATCCAGGAAATTTCCTGTTKGGTCCCTAAGGCTACCAGTCAATAAAATTTTAAGCAGGCTATCATTCTGCCACTGCTTACATTTATTATAGTAGGCAATTTTCAGTTGAACTGGAAATTGCCTAATGACTCAAAAGCTAAATGGTTTTTAAATTATTGGCTGTGTTACTGAGTTGAGAATTGGCTTCTGGTGATTTCCAAAGTGACAGCTAAGAAGTTTCACACACTCATTAYATGGAAGGGACAATCAACATCTCTATTAAAGTCTACAAAAATACATTTCCAGAAGGGTTCAATYGCCAGTCAAAGGAAACTACAAACACAATTAGCAGCACCAGGTCTCCAGACAGTAATGATTTTTTTTGTTTACAGGAATTACTGAATATGCTGCTCTCCTCAGCCAAAATTCACTCCTCCTTCCTGGTACCTGTGTGTCTAATTGTCAAAGTAAGGATACATTGTTGTAAAATAATTGCCAAGTTGCTTAAAAGTGTCTTCTATCTTTTAAAAAGATTGGGTTTAGGATACATTAGAATAAAGCTCAAAGGGCAAGGAGAAGGAATTAATTCACAAACTCGATGTAATTTGCTGGGAGCATGCCCGTTCTCCCAGTTCTCTGCACTGTGCCATACATCCAGCCGTCATCGATGGGCTGCACGTTGACGATGTAGTCGCCATCTCGGAAGGAGACTTCATCCTCATCCTGGGCACTGTAATCGTACATAGCTCGGTAGGTCCTCTGAGGAGGCAAGAAGGAATGACACAATGAGAACCAGGACTGTCATAGACACTCATGCTAGCCCCAGCAGACCCTCCCACACATAGAGCAAGACCAGGAAGGACTTCCAGGATGTCGGATTAGGGAAATCTGTAAACCAGAGTCTAACATCTAATTGTGTTGATCTTCACTTTATCAGTCTAAGGAGCAGAGATAAAGACAACAGAATAGCTAGAAAAGACAGTGAGGAAAGACAATCATCATCATCATCATCATCATCATCTAGCCTGTCAAAGGTAGGCTTTGAAACCATAAAGCTGACTTCCCCAGTTTCAGATGGTCTCAGAAACTAGATTATGTAGATTCTCCTTGTTCCATAGTCTCCAGACAACAAACCGACCAAAACAGCAGACAGGCCCTGAACCCACTGTCCCTCTGCTACTGATCCCTCCTAATAGAGTCAAGGAATCTTTCCTAAATAGGTAATAAGAAGTTTTGTTTTCCTTTTTTAAAAAAAAAAAAAATGTAAAACAAACTTTTTAAAAAATTAGGGCTGGGGATGTGGCTCAAGCGGTAGCGCGCTCGCCTGGCATGCGTGCGGCCCGGGTTCGATCCTCAGCACCACATACCAACAAAGATGTTGTGTCCGCCGAGAACTAAAAAATAAATATTAAAAAAAAATTCTCTCTCTCTCTCCTCTCTCTCACTCTATCTTTAAAAAAAAAAAATTATATACTCCCTTTACAGTTTTTTTTTTAATCACAGTGATAGAAACATAGTATAAAAATGTTCTGAATATGGAGGTACATATAACTAAATCCTTGTTATAATGAGGAATTTTGAGTATTCCTGTACTCATTTTTAACAATAAGAATTTAGCTAATATTAACCACCAGAAAATCTCAAAAACAGCATTCATGGGCTGAGGAAACCAGCTGGGACATCAAGACACTTGTACCAATTATCTTACAGTTAGAAAAGTGGCCTGTTCCTAAGTGTTTGACAAAGGCCACGGGACTGTGATGGGGCTGGGAAAAGCCATTTCAGTATGAGARGCCAAGCATAACTCGATGACCTCAAGTACTGCTTCCAAACTTGACCCTGAAATAATCTATCAAGATTTCAAGATTTCTGGTGGCCGGGCGTGGTGGTGCATGGCTGTAATCCCAGCAGCTCAGGAGGCTGAGGCAGGAGGATCTTTAGTTCAAAGTCAGCCTCAGCAATCTCGCGGTGTCAAGCAACTCAATGAGTMCCTGTCTCTAATAAAATACAAAATAGGGCTAGAGATGTGGCTTAATGGTCAATTCCCAGTAATTGATGATCATCAATTACCCAAGTTCAATCCCCACTACTCCACCTCCYGCCAAAAAATAAATAAAAATAAAGATTTCAAGATTTTCAACAGGGGGATTTGAAGACTTTTTTCCTCCAAAAATACATCTTTAATTGACACATAGTAATTTTACAAATATATGGGCTACAGTGCAGAATTTTGAAGCATGTCTACAATGCATCATGATCAGATCAGGGCAACTGGCAGATCAGGGTAACTGGCAGATCTATCATCCAGACATTTATCAATTCTTTGTGTTGGGAACATTCAAAATCCTATTAGCTACTTTAGTAGCATTATATCAGCTCCATGGTCATCTTGATGATCATCAAGGTTAACTCATTAATATGACCATTAAATATTTGTACCTTTTTAGTCCTAAATGAAGATTATAATTGACCAATACCAATCATGATCACATTAAGATGTCTAACTAATAGATTTCTTGTACGTTTGATTATGTCATACAATGCCTACTAATGCCTTCCTTTCTGAAAGCTTTACCTATATATTTTTGGCTTTCCTTTGAAAGAGTTGTGTAAATGGCAACATGTCACCATTGATCTTCAATGTTCCATAAGCATTTCAAATGTATTCCACATGCATTTGTATTTTTGAAGTAAATGGGAAGACCAGGTAGGAACACTTTAATGACACTTACTAGATTTGGTGAGTGCTGCATAGACCTCATGGATGACACACTGGTCTGGTGCATGTACCCGTAGCCTTGGGAATGGCTTTGCTGGTAAGCTCCAGGGAGAACAGGCGCTGCACATGAAACACACACACAGATTCCACAGAGTTAGCTTCAAAACACCCCTCCCCAATGAACCCTCAAAGAGGCTTCATGCTCTGCTAGAAGCTTCAGAAAACAAATGCTTTTGGCAGTGTCATGTGAAATTTGAGTAGCAGTGTTATAAGCAATCTCTTGATTAGTCCAAATCTCAGTAATTAAGGACATTTGTTTAAAAAAAATCAGTTAAGCATGCAGTAAATTATATTTTAAATATTTTATTACTCTTATACATACTATGTTAAAATGATRTAAACACAAAACAAAAATTTCCCATAATACCTTAACAAAATCATGTTTTTATTTGTACATATCATTCTTTTACGCATTTTCCAAAATAAAAATAAGAATGTTAAAGGAATTTAATTGGTTTGCCAAACCAATGGTAGAATATCAATATTTTCAGAGTGATTCTCATATAATGGATACTTTCAATATTAAGATATACAGCTGAATGTTACTTTAACAAACATGATAAACAAAACATATGTCTAGGGATGTATGACTATTCATTACAAAGTTTATACCCTTTAAAGAAAACTTTATATAGAATACATGAATTCTCCTTTTTGACTATAAGTCATGACTAAGTAAGTTATTTGAGTATTTTTTTTTTACTAAAGCCTGAGGAACAAGACCACTTAAAGAATTTCATATACATTATCTATGTTTTAAAAAGAAAAAGTATTTGCCAGGCATGATGGTGCACATCTGTAATCTCAGTGACTCAGGAGGCTGAGGCAGGAAGATCGCAAGTTCAAGACCACCCTCAGCAATTCAGCAAGACTCTAAGCAACTTAGWGAGACCCTGTATCAAAATAAAAACTAATAAGTTCTGGGGATATGTCTCAGTGGCTGAGCACCCCTGAGTTCAATCCCCAGTACCAAACAAACAAACAAACAAAAAGGGATCAAATGAGATTCACTCAGTTTGTGCTGTCCTCACCACCAATTATGGCACTCAAAACACACAGTTTCTGGTTTGAAGAACCCTGAAAAAAAACTCTGATTTCTAGAGAAACCAACACAGAAGTTAGATAAAATCTCAATAAAATCAAAAGACATAGATGCATGTGTTTCTCTTTATATTTAAATATCTGTAACCAGAAAACAGCTATAAATGAAGGTGTTTTAGTAGCATGCCCTTCATTATGTTTTGAATAAGTATATATTACTTTAATAAAGGTTATACTATATATGTGTTATTAARATATACAGCTGAATGTTACTTTAACAATTTAACAATATCCCTAATAGTTTGCCACTTTCATTTAACCAAGTTGCATAGATGTAGTAATTGTAATGGGTTGATTTGTTGAAGACAGGTTTTATAATAAAAGAAATCTGCAGATATAATTCTTGGGTGTTATAATACTTTACAAATAAATTTATTCTAATGACACACAAGATCATTGATACTTTAAAGGATCTTACTGATCAGAAAGTTATAAAACCTTGCTTGTGTTCTCCCAATGACAATATTGAATAGGGATTCTTTTACATAGTGTACATTGTAAAGTTATTAAAATAGCATTAAACATCAACTACTTCAGAAAACAGCACTTTTCAGGATTATCAACACAACTTAAATATTTCATGTCAAGAGATGTTAAGGTTAGTGTCAAAATCCACTCACAACGAACAATCAAGAAATTTCCATAAATATTTAGGTCCCCTTACATAGCTAGGTAGAAGGTCTTCTTTGTGTATTGAAGGCTGGAACATTGACTTTCAACTCTCAGCAAATACTTACTAGCTAATGTGCACACAGCTTCTGCATTGCCTGAAACATAGTAAGTCTCCGTAATGACTAATAATTATGACTGTCCACCATGTTCAAGGCATGCCAGGCATAAGAGAAGTGACAAAGACAACTGTCCTGGAGCCAGGATGGTCTTGGGCAACTGGCCCTCTACCCAATTAAGCAAATGGCTCTGGATACTTAGGGCCTTTTCAATGACAAGCATAAATCAATTATTTTAACCATATACCCAGGTCTGACAGTTGTGAACTTGTTTCTAATCATTTAAACTAGTTATTTCTTCATTAACTATTATTTGAATCTATCTACAAATTCTAAAGATTAAATATAAATGCCTCTGTTCATGTACATAAGAAATTAAATTCTAATCCATTGTGATACTAATTAACTATGAACTTTACTTTTTTTGGTACAGAGTTAAGACATAAAMTGTCTCAAAATATTTTGGAATAAAACTTTCAGGAAAGAACATTGAAAAAAAATATGCTAACTCAGAATCTGTGAGAGATTTATTTACACAGTTTATAGATCACAATTCCAATTCTGTGCCTATAGGTAGTGACCATTCAAGAATGTTTATTCTTGAATTATATTCTCTAATTTTGGCTTTCAAAAAATAGGGTGTATATTCAATGGCTGAAATCTGCCCTTCAAAGGGAAGCAGTAGTTATTGTTATTGAGGAAAGTAAAGAAAGTAATGTGTTAGTCCTCAATAGGTGTGGGTTGGAGAGAGCCAAGAGAGAATTTAGAATGAGACACTGCAGAGTACTTTTATCCATCTAGCCCTTCTGGTTTCTCTTCATGCTTTTATTGATTATTGTTATTTCTCTCCTTGGCTGAATTACTTAATAAAAAGTTCCTTTGGGGTTATAAAACCTTGTTATCTACTTTATACCTGGTGCAATAAGAGTTCTTAGGAAGCTCCTATTAGGAGCTGTGAAAAATATAACAGAGAGCCTAGAGGAATCAACTTAGTAAAAACAAATGTCAATGCTAAAAGAGGCAAAACATTGCTTTTCTGTAGTTATGCCCCATGGATGTTTTTTTGGAAACAGATAAAACAAGCAAAAGGAAATTTAAAGTGATGGCTTCAAAAATTCAGTTTGTTAAGAATTCAGTTGAAAGATAGTCATTCCACATATGGGATTTCTTCCACGAAATGTAGAATGCAAACTATTTTTTCAAAAAGCAAGACATCAGGCTAACTTTGCAACAAACAAGGACATCTTGGAAAAGAGAAAAACACATGGTATCCTTTCATTAAACTGGTGGTCAGATTTCTTCAGCATTAATATTGAACAAGAAAGGTGCAATRGTATTCCAACCCAAGTGGCTTGAGTTTGAGAGTTTTATTTCCACAACATCAAAGCCAAAAAAAAAAAAAAAGAGCTTTTGTTAACCTAAGACAACAATAAAGCTCAGATGTTTGACTGAACTTTCATTTCACATTGGTGAGATCCTTGACCAGAGATCTGGAAGCTGACTAAAGCACCAAGCGTTTCAGGCAGTCTTTGGGATGTCTTCCTATTCTTATGAAACCAAAATGTCTCCTCCTAGTGCACAGTAGAATTATTCCCCCCAAACAGCCCATGGATGTTGCATATATTTTTACATAGGTAATTTTGGGGTTTTGGTTTTGTTGTTGTTTTTCAGTGCTGGGAGTGAAGCCAAGGCCTCTATCACTGAGCTACACCCCCAGTCCCCAATATCTTCTTTTAAATGTTTATTTTTAAAGTGGAAGGAAATAAAACTAAAATAAAGAAGTGTGYTGATATGAAGATCACAAAACGGAAGGTGAGAAGGGAGGAAGAAAACATTTTTAAGAGGTTTCAGAAATCTGGAACTGGGGCTGGGATTGTGGCTCAGTGGTGGAGCGCTTGCCTAGCACAGGTGAGGTACTGGGTTTGATCCTCAGCACCACACAAAAATAAACAGATAAAATAAATAGTGTGTTCATCTACAACTAAAAACATATTTTTAAAAAATCTGAAACTGAAGAAAAGGAGATCTATACAAATTTACAGAGATTAAAGTTAGTGGATCAAGGATATGAACCCATAGTAAGGGGAGAGAGTTACCCCCAAAGAGGTTCAATTTGGGGGACACACCCATAGATGGTCAAGGAAGAGAAGAAAGTATCTTTTCACGTGTAAAGTGCTTGTATGTTGCTTTTTAATTATCACAATAACTATCCAAAATAGGTATTGCTCCTAATTGACATAATAATGAAAAATAACAGAAGTTCAGAAATTAAGCAGGGTGACAACAGAACAATTATTTTTTGTTAGGGAAGGCACAGTATAGGTTTCAAGTCATTAAAGACAAGGTGGAAGCCTTAAATGACTACAGAATTCAGTATATGGTCAAAGTCAACTTGTCCAAAAAAAGTCTTTATTGACTATAAATATAACATGAATTGAGAAAATAATTTGGGGGGCTTTCTCCCCTTTATTTTTAATATTCAGTATAAGGAAAAAAATCACTCTTGAAAAAATTTCCAATAAAGGATACAGGATCCAACGAAATGATTACCATTATTTTCTAATACCAGTTTTATCAGCTAATATGTGTCAAAGAAATTAATGTTCTGATGTTTTGTTTTGTTTTTAGCACAGAAATCTTTATTTAGACAATCAAAGAGGGATTGCTAAAAGACAAAGTATAAARGGCTGCTCAATTGAAAGTGAATATTAAACAACAAGATAGATTCCAATTAGATCCCATCTAGTTCATGAGCAAGGTGGCCAAGCTAATTGGTAATAAGATAGTTCCACAATGTGGACTTTTATGCTGAAATATCTCTTAAATATGTCATTGAGTTTCATGTCAGAGCTTGAAGTCTTCATGGCAACTAAGTGCCCCCCACAAGCCATAAATGGACACTAAAACCATGGAGTTGATCTCTAATCTAACAACAAGATTCTATTTCTTAGTCTGAGAGAATTCTTCACACTATAAAAATTTTTCTTTCTCTGAAGAAAACAGAAACAAGCCAAATTACTTCTAGGTTTTAGTTTGTTGGTTTTTAATGACAAGTTATGAATAGATTACTACCTAAGGAACAGGCTTATTGCACGATAAACCAGGAATTAATAGACTTTAACATAAAAAATGATATGATCCACAGGTGAGTAAAAACCATCAAGTTTAAAGACACACCTGATCATCACCATAATACAAACTAATTGCTCAATCTTTGGAAATATGTAAAAA